TGAGCAGGGCCTCGTCAGATGCACATCTGATGCTCCTGGAAGTTGGTTTGCAGAATCAGAACCCAAAGTTCTCACTTTCCAGAGTCCATTTTTATAGGAATTTCTTCCTATGCCAGTCTATGGGAATTGCTTCATCATGCTGTTGCTGAATCAATCAGCAGATGTCACATTCCTGACGGCTCCGTGCTGCCAGATGTTATCTTGTTCTTTGGTTCTCCCATTCTTGAGGCTGTTGGGTGGATTCCAGTCTGCCCTCCGGGGTTCCTCTGGTTATTTCCACTTGATGCCTTCTTCAGCCGATGGACACTGGATTCTTAGGCTGGCACCTCCCTGATCATTCAGTTCTAATCCACACCAAGCATCCATCCACATACATCCTCTATCTCTATTTTAATCACAATTGTTAACAAAGCGAGATGAATACAACAAAAGGGCGGAGAGTCTCTGGTGCTGTTTCTGTTGTTACAGAGTATTGCTTTGAGTCTCTCTCTGTGTGAGTAGTTGTTGTTACAAAGAATTGCTTTGAGAGCAGACTCGGTCTTAGAATGTACTAACACAATTAGTAGCTTGCAAGTTTCACACAGAGGGAGAGAAACAGTACCAAAAACCAAGAGACCTCTTAATTAGTAATACCCTGGAATTTAAACTATGGGGAATCAAACTCATTTGTGATTTGAATACAGAACTTCTTTAATATGATCCAACAAGTGGAGAAACGCTGTCAGTTGAGGTTGAAACCAAGTGAGAGTGAATGAGATAGGGAAATTAATTTCAGCAGAAAATACCAACTGGTATTGTTAAACTGGGAGCAACTGTCAAATTAAAACCGTGTTCAAGAAAAACGAGAGACTTAGTAGAAACTCCATTTAGAATCTGTTTCATTGTCATAAGCTTCTGAAGAAAGCTGTGCTGCTATATCTAGTAAAATCCTTGCACCACAGAGAAGTTGTAAAAACTCAAGTTGCCTGCTTAAGAAGTAATGGATTTCCAAGTTCAGTTTTGCATGGTAGGAAGGTCAGAATAGAGGGGCAATGCAGGGTGTGATCATTGCCAGACAATCTACATCTGGTTTGATGGAAAACAGAAAAAAACTGGGAAAGTTAACTATAGATATATACCCACATTCACAAACAAGACAGATTGACAAAGCCTCTATTGGAATTCAAAGCAATCCTTGGATGGCACTCTCACAGATTTGCCCATTAAATATACTGATAGCCATGCAGTCATTGCACCAGGCTCCCAAGTGTACCACGCATTTCCCACTGATCTAAAGCTACTGACTATTGCACCCTATATATTTTAGCTGACTAAGGAATCTCAGAACATTATGACTTTTGGAAAGTGTTGACTTGTTCACATACAGTGGGTTAAGTGCCAGGCCTGGCAAAACCAAACTAAGAGTCCTACACCGATCTATTCATATCTACAATCAAAGTTAGCAAAATGTGAAGCACAAATGTGATGTATGTAGCACTGTAATTTACCCTTTTGTTTCCTGAATGCTGCAACTTAAAATTTCTAGGAGTTTGAAAGCTGTTGCCATTTTGTGTCAGTTCAGGCACAGATTTAGTGAGTCATTGGTTTCTCTTTTATTAACAAGTCATCTAGTCTAGTCTAAAGACATGTATTTTGGCCTGTGTCTACATTAAAAAAAAAAATACAGAAACATGTTGCTTTGAGGAAAACTTAGTTGTAAGATCCCTGCTTCAAACTCCCACTCTTTCCATTCTCAGCATGCGTGTGCATTTTTACAAGTTTTATTGCACTTATTTAACTTTACCAAAAAGAGAGAAATTATTATATGGGAGTGAAAAATATATATTGTCATGTTTGTAGTAGCTAAAAGCTATAGAAATTTGATCCAATGTGTAGCAGCATAGTCTCTCCTCATTTCTTAGACAGCCAACTAAGATATGATTTTAGGTACCATATTATTTGCAATAATGAAAAAAAAATCAGACTATACCCATTATAAGCATTTGGTCATCAGTAACTCTAGTTTCTAATCTCCAAGTCCCCTTAATTTAACTGTTAAACAATTTGGGATTTGTTTGTTAGCCATATTGGATTTTTTTTTTTCCAGATATGAAATATTAATTCTGTAACAAAGATTAAAACATGTAAATGCCACATCATGGTATACAATTATATTAAGGGACACAGGGGATTCAAAGTTAGATTTAATGATGGCTAGGACTTAAATACATGTATGTGCACACAATCTCAGCCACAAAATTTAGCCAAATTGGTATTCTACTGAGAGATTTTTAACTGGCCTTCCTGTTTAAGATCCAGGAATATCTCATATAAAGATTAATCCCTTTCACAAATTCTGGAACATTTATTAAACATTAGAATGTACTCCTCCTGTATCAAAAGAAAGCACAAGGCAGCTCAGAAATCCCTAAATCCTTTAGATTTTACTATAAATACAATATATAGTAAATATCGGTGAAAGCCAACATAGCTAAGAAGCTAATTGGATACAGACTATCTGCCTTGCCTGTCACACCATTAATCTTCTTATGTAGCAGCAGATCATGATGTTCAATTAACTGAAGTGCTTTTAGTGTGTTCAATAGATGATAAAAATAACTAAATATTGATACTACATACAAATTACCAAATATTGGAGCAGGTTAATCGCCTATCCAGGGTCAGTGGTATGTAAGAGCAGAGGTGAACAAGTAGCCCCATTTGTACCAGTGTATCAGGTTCATGATGACCTGATTACTGTTTATGAAATGGTAACATACAGAGGTTTTTTTCCAAACATTTATTCCATTAGTCACAGCCTAAACCAATATAATATTCATTATTCACAGACGTCAATAGGTACTAGCAGGTTCCCAAAGGCATTTTCCTTATAGAATCTATTACATTCCTTTCTCATGCATTTTAATTATAAATTAAAAGCAGCACAAATATTATAATCAAAAAGAGCTAAAACACTGCTACTTACTGAAACCTTTTAAAAAGAAAAGCATGTAAGTCTGCAGAAATGCTTCACAGAGTGCCTGTGTTTCCCTTTAATGAATGTAACACGTTTTAATTGTAGTATATTACAGATGGTAAAAACCTACAAGAAAAAAAATCAAAATAGACCTTTATAAAGGTTCAGAAACAAAGGACTTCATTTTCATAATGAGGTACCAGGAGTTCTGCAAGAGGTTCAGTCTACCATTGTGAGGTTCAGTCCTCATGTGATTCTGAGGTAGCAATCTATTAAGATTTGTACAAACCCCAGTTTAATCCACTAAAAGAACAAATAGTCTTCTTTAGCTGATTCATGTTCTTGTATTTTTTCCTCCTTAAAATTTCTGTTATTAGACAAATAGAAAAAAGAGTACGTGGCCAGAATCTCAGATGGAAGAGCTAAAGCTATAATCCAGATTGTATAATTAATCCAGCGAAAATGGTTTATATATTTCTAATTTAATTGTTGCAATTTACCACATGTAAGAGTTAATGTGGTCTGAAGCCTCTGCTAGAATTATTTGGTGGTTTGTTTGTTTGTTTGTTTGTTTGTTTTTTGGAGTAAGGGGGGAGGGAAAGTCATCTGACTTGTTAAACCAGAAAATGCATGTTACTAAAGAGGGCACTTCTAAATTTCCACTTCACTGAAAATCTGAGAACCATGGCTCCCATCCCACAATGAGAGTCACATAAATGGACTTCTGAGCACATATGATTGATGGGGCTCCACATGGGCACAGGGGTCTGACCAGATGGGTCTCACTGTAGGATCAAAGCCTGAATATTGATTGATGATTAGTTGGTGTTGGTCCTGCTTTGAGCAGAGGGTTGGACTAGATGACCTCCTGAGGTCTCTTCCAACCCTAATATTCAATAATTCTATTATTACTATTATTTGTATTATGGTAGCACCTAGAGGCCCCAACCATGATCATGGCCCATTGTACTAGGCACTGTAGAAACCTATAGTAGGAGACGGTCCCTGCCCCAAATACTTTATATGAGTGTTCATCTATATAAAATTTACTTTTTCAATATTTTGATCAAGTATTTTAAAAATATATATTTCCTTTATGGAAACATCCTGAAGAATTTAATAGGGACTAAACCAATTAGGTTCTAAAGATGTCTAATATGGTTATATGAAAATTGCTGAATCTATTTAATTTTTTAGAGAATTATATCCTTTTTACAGGGTTTTTTAAGTCCACCTATATAATTTATAATATGGATATAATTTTCTTTTAAAATCTATTAGGTCCAAACACCAATTTAAAAATAATCTATTAAAATCTGTAGTACTGTCTCAAAAATCTTGATCTGTTCAAAATTATTACCAAAGGCTTTTCTATAAAATAGTACTGGTTGGGATTTTGTTTGGAAATATTTTTACCTTTCTTTATTCTGAAATATGCAGCTCTCTTTAGCTGAAAGGCATAAACTTGCTAAAAATGAGCATCGAGTTGAAAGGACACCTAACACTGTTTAATGTCACCTGCTGGATGAATGCATCAGGATTGCAGAGGGAATTAATCCTGGAGAACTCATGTAATCCACTGTGTAGAAGGTGCAGCACTAGGATGATTGGCCAGTTAACCTTTTTCATTTCCCAGTTAGACTCTAAATGCCTTTATGACTAAACTTTAACTCTAAATGCAAAATTATAAATTAATGTTAAATACTCCAGATGTAATATAAAAGATAGGACATTGCTTTGCTCCAGCCAGGAGACAGGCACTATTCCTCCATATACATTTATGTAGAAACTTAAGTCTCTGCATAATTTTTAATTATTAAGCTACAAGTCACTTACTCTAGGATATAAAACAAAAGTAATAATGGCAAGAAAAGCAGTCACCGGAACAGCCTGTCCATGTAGGGAGTTGCTTCAAGGCATTAACCAGAACTAAACCCTGATTAAATGTCTAATTGGCTTGAACAGTAATGGCAAGAAAAGCCACGGGCTGTCCCTGTTGAAAGTAAAAGAGCAGCAGAGGTTTCAAAATAGTCTTGTGGGCAAGATGTTTAATAGACTGAAAGCAAGATTCACCAAAGTGAAGCAAAAGCCAGAGGAGGAAAAGTCCAAGGATGAAGAGGCCCCTCCTAACCCACCACCCCAACAGCCGCCACTCACAGGGCAGGTAAAGTATTTAATATTATACAGATCCATTAGTATTATGTTTGTGCTTGAAAATCACTGATTTAATTAGATGACGCAGTAACCAAAACTTAGATTTTCCCAGAAGCTTACTGTATTGAATATCCTCATCTGTACTAAATGACAGCTGCCTTTTGGTTTGCTCCTTGTTTTCCTTATATTTTCTTCACACTATCACTCCCTGGTTTAGTTGCTTTACAAATGGGCCTATTCTGAATGATTACTGGACCATATAAGGTCTTGGAAAGACAAAGTAACTTAGTAACATTCTTCATATATCATTTGGCTATGTCTTACAAAAATAGTTCCAGTTGAAATCTATAGAAAAGCTACCTTTTTTCGTTCCATTTAAAAAAATAAATATTGGTTTAAAGTAGTAACTCACTTGTGCACTGTACATTAATGGAAAATTTAAAAACTCAAAGCTATCTAAGGCCAAAAAGCATTCATTTACTTGGCTTTTTTTAAAATGAGGATTTTTAGTATCCAGAATTTTCTGTAACCTTCCATAACTCATAACTTCACAGGGCAGAATATCAACAATTCAATGGCTAACCAAGTCATTGGGATATTGGTAACCAAAGGAAAACAAATTGTTTACAGTCAGTCCAGTGCCTTTAATCTTAATTGCTGCTTTGGGAGCAAAGGAAATTCTTCCTTTATTACTTTAATTAACTGACTGTTTAACATCAAGAATCCTATTCAGGTAATTTATTTTCTCCCACAAATGAAAATGTCTGCTCAAGTATACCAAACACTGGCAAACCACAGTATTATTTATCACTCTAGGATGTGCAGTGTCACCTCCACCAGGTCACAACCTGACCAGTGTTGAGAGCCAGCAGTAGGCATAAGCGAATTAAGCAATTGCTTAGGGCCCTGAGCAGACCAGGGCGGCCCCCTGTTCACTTCTTTAGTATGTGTTGGGGGGGAATATTAGGGCCCCCAATCAGCTAGCACCGCCTCTGCCAGTGTTAACGATCCCAATGACATCCCTTCTGGTAGCACTGCTATAGGGGATGTACCTGCAGGCCTCCTAACAACTTTATAGTTTTGACTAAAATGGAGGCTAATTGGAATGTTCAAAGATGGAAGGATATCCAGAAAATGAGGTTCATTTATTTAAACTTCTTGAAATTTTACCCATCTGGGTAAGTGGCAAATTTTGATCAGTCCAACCTGTATTTTATCTTGACCGCCAATCCACACAAGCATGTTAAGAAGTGGAATAATTTTCTGTTTCAGGGATGCACAACAGACCTGGGCCTAATTGATATAACATACTAAAAATATGTATTCAGAGAGCTCTGCATATGTTCTGCCATCCTGATTATCACTACAAATGTTTTTTTTCTCCTGCTGATAATAGCTCACCTTAACTGATCACTCTCGTTATAGCGGGTATGGCAACCACCATTTTTTCATGTTCTCTGTGTATATATATATCTTCCTACTGTATTTTCCACTGCATGCATCTGATGAAGTGGGTTTTAGCCCACAAAAGCTTATGCCCAAATAAATTCGTTAGTCTCTAAGGTGCCACAAGTACTCCTCATTTTTTTTACTATTATCCTGATATCTCAATTATTTTATATCCTGCTGGGACAGTTGTCATGCTAAGTTATATGTATTACCAGCAGCTGTGGATAATAATGCCCTGTATTTTATACTGAGATTTGCCCCAGGGATTGTTTGGCCTTGTAAAATTTATTTTTTGTCCCACCCCACACCCTGAGCTAATTTTGCTTTCAGGAGCAGTGCTACTGTACCTTTTAATTAACCTGAAGAATGGAGAAACAAGGTTCCTTGTGTTGTACCTTCATTTTTCTATTTCTGATATTGGAAGCCACTAAATTTCTTATAAACAGGTCTGAAAAGTTTCTTCTGACTTATACTTACTTGGGGAAGGTTTCCACCGCAAGAAGGTGCTGATGCCATTTCCAGCAATACAGGTCAGGCTGATTTCTCTAAAGATAGAGCAGGCAGCCTTACCCTGCTCTGTGGTTGATAGGAGGAGGAGCTAGAGGGAGTTATTTTTTAAAAAGTAATGAGAAATTGTAAAGTGCTGGTGGTGAGAGAACTAGTTATACATACTAAGAGTGAGTACTAAGCAGGAAAGCAACCAGTTACTGCCTTTCTATGCTTAGGACTACCTACAGAAAATGAAGGGGTGTGTGTATATAGCAAATGTGAGTTTGAACATTGCCCATGTGGTATTTTTTTTGTTTTATTTTCTGCTCTTCTATTTACTTACATCAATATATCACTTTTTATATAAGAAACTGAGTATAACCAGCTCATTTCTTCATAATCTGGCATATTACAACTGGCACATCTGTTCTTAGTATAAATACATTTTTTTCTATCTACATACTTAAATGGCCTCTCGTAAAAAGGACTCACCTGGAGTACTCTCCTTCAACAAAACACATCATGTGCATCTTCCTCTGTTCCCCAAAAGTCCAGCCATAAAAAGAGCACAGTCTCTTTCACTGTTTGATACAGAGGCCCATCTCTGGACACAGTTTATTCATTTACACACACACAATAGTCTGTACAACCAAAAGATACAGAAGTCTTCCATTCCTCTGTCCAGGAACAACACTTCCAGGTCACCCACCCAGGAGACAACCAGCACTCAATTCCCAATTCCTTTCTGACCTTGTTCCAGGGACCTTCCACTTGCCAAGCCACCCATCTGAGAGTGCCCAGTCTCATGACTCTTCTGCTCAAAACACAGTCCAATGACTCAGCCCTTTTCAGCCACCCTGTGTGGACTCACTAGTTTAGGAAGGTCAGCTAGCTCAACCCTCTGTTGGCCTCCTAGCCTGCCCTTTTCAGCTATCCTGCACTGGCTCCCCAGCTCTGGAAGGTCAGCAGGCCAGTCCTTCCACTAGCCGTCAATTCCCTCTTCCCAGGGTAGGCCTGCAAAGTTTTCTGCTCTCTATAGACTGTCTCTCCCTAGCAGCTCTCAACTGCCATTTTCCTTGTTCTTCCAATCTATGTGCTCAGCCAACTGACTCTCCAGATCTGTCTTCTCTCAGGCCCAGATCCTCTTTTAAGCCTAACTGGGAGGCAGCTGATGAGTCACAGGTGAACTGGACCCCACTGCCTCTGAAAGGGCCAGTGTCATCCTGTGACGCAGCCCTTACCACCAGTGACCCAAAATTACTCTATACACACAGCCAGTCCTACACACATGCCAAGTATCTTCTGATGTGTCCACACTTCTGCCTAGTACTATCCACAACCTGGACCTCCAACTCCACCTGGAAGGATGCATTGAGTGATCCAGGTTGCAAGCTGATAGATGAATCAAAGACCAAAGCATATTGTACATGCAAACTCTATAAAGGAACACCATGTAAAAGGTAAAAGAAGATGGAATGTGGGAATATTTGTGTAACATTTTACATCTTCAGAGCATTGCACAAGTATTAACTAACATGACTGTATTCGGGGCTCTCATGAGCAAAAGCCTGAAAGAGAATAAACAACCTGTACAGCAAAAGACTGTATAGCTAAACTTTGGAACTGAGAAGCAAACAAAATATTCCCAGGTTCTGCTATATACCCACACTACTCTGAGAATGCACAGATTCTCTAGGATTGCAATTGTACATGTTTGTTTGTTTCCCAAGGTCTCAGAATCAAACTCCTCTGATCAAAGTTAGGGAAGAACAAACAGTCTGAGTAAAATAAGAACCAATCCAACCTTTCATCAAAAACTCAAGATAAACCCAAAATTAATGTAAAAAGTTAACTTTTTCAAAACAAAAGATTTTCATTTTCATATGCCCTGTGGTGCCTAGTTTTTTACTCCCACCTCTTAACTCCCTCCTCCCAAAAAAAGCCCAAACCCTTACCTATAGCCGTTCTAAGTTTTATTCTTTTGTTTGTCCAAATTTAGTATTTTTTGATGGTCAAGTAAAATATCAGTAATTTTTTCATCGTCAGTCACTGTGATAAATAGTGAACAAGTCAGCTTTGTGTCTGGGATGGTAAGCATTTGTGATGTCTTGCAAGGAAATTTAAATGATTTATAATTTAAAAATGGATGAGGGCAGGAATCATTGGGTAGCCACCAACTTTCCCTACCGCAGGAGACTAGCCCAACATAGTTAATGAAGATACTTCCTGTTAACTGAATAATAACTGTGTCCTTGGACAAACACTTCAGTGTTAAATATATTTATCCCAGGATACAACTTATTTCATATGGTCCCTGTCACCAAAATATCTGACAGGTTTCAGAGTAGTAGCCATGTTAGTCTGTATCCGCAAAAAGAACAGGAGTACTTGTGGCACCTTAGAGACTAACAAATTTATTAGAGCATAATAAATATGCTCTAATAAATAAAGAAATTTATGCTCTAATAAATTTGTTAGTCTCAAAGGTGCCACAAGTACTACGTTCTTTTTGCAAAATATCTGAATGCCTCAGTCTTTAATGTATTTATCCTCACAACACCTCCGTGAAGTAGGGAAGTACTAGTATCCCCATTTTGCAGATGGGAAACTGAGGCACAGACAGACTGTGGACAGTCTACACTTGAGTTTGAAGGTGTAATTTCTGATTGAGCTTTGTGCTACAAATAGAAGTGCAGCTGCACAAGCAGTCCCAAATACACACCTATAGTTTCAGATGGGATAGTACTTGGGGTGGTTAGCCCCACCCCCACCACATCTATATTTATCACGTTATATTGATTAGAACACATCTCCTCTAGCTGAAATTCACCCCTAACAATTTTAGTGCAGACATACCCTAACTGACTTGCTAAAGTTCAGCTAAGAAGTCTGTAGTAGAGTACTGAATTGAATCTGGGTCTCCCTAGTCCTACAGTAGGGCCATAACCACTTGACTATTCTCTGTATATATAATATATACCTTCAGGTATGCATATAAATATATATTCTAGTATTTGGGTGGGCTGTGTGTGTGTGTAATACAGATATATACCTATGCATACATCAACAGTGAAAAGAAATGTTATAGGAGTAAAGATTGTTGAAAGAGACAAATGCAGTTAAGTAATGAATTTTCACACTTTTTCATGCCTGAACCATATTTTTTCCTGAAATACATCTTAAATACTTCTGTTTGCTTCCTTAAGGGTGAAAATAAAAACAAAAATGAGGCACAGAAAGGCAAGACCGCTAATACTGCACAACCGGAACCAAAGCAACAAGGTCAGTAACAGTCCATTTACCTGCACCAGAACTGTACCTGAACAATATTCTGATAGTATAGAGCAGCAGACAACGTGCATTTGAGTATCAAAGTTCCTTTGAAAAATCGAGTGTTTTCCCCACAGGGTGCCCAGTACTGCCAGGTGCTGATCTCCTCCTATGAGGGGTTAAGCCTCTTCAATTCCCATTGACCTCAAACTGGCAACAATCCATTACAAAATTCTATTCTTTATTGACACTGTCCTCTCTTTCCTTTCCTTTTATCTCACTGGCCTTTCAGATTTTGGCAACTATTCCTCTTCTCCAATCCCCTTGTGTTCTTAGCCCCCCTTTTTCTTCCTTTATGCCCCATCTTTAGATGATCTCCTCTATTCATATGGATTTAATAAACACCTCTACAGTGATGATTCACATCAAACCTCATCACTCCAGATCTCTCTCCTTGGCTTCACCCTCATTCCTTTAATGCACAATGTAGCTTCATTTTAAAGCATTTGTGTTTCTCAACTTGAGAAGGAGGTCTGCATATCCCTTAAATGTACTTATGGTCATGTTTCATTTAAAAACTAATCTAATGGCACAGTGGGTAGATATCCTTTCCCGTTCTGAATTCAAACCATGTGCTGAGCACACACAAAAATCAAGTTAGTGGTGTGCATAGTGGATATTTATCCATATCACAGGCCCACCTCACAGTCTGGTATTATTGGCAGACTCTATTCAAAAGATGTCCAGGACTGGAAGGTAGGATCATAAAGCCAGAAAGGATTGAGGAGCACTGGAAGAACAGAGTATGGAACCATGCACAATCCCTATTTGCATTTTGTGTAAATTTAAACAGTGTTACTAATTCCTTCTTTTCATGACAATTTTTTTTAATTTGAACGAAAAAATAATCGAGTCATTCCATGCTCTCATTCTGCTCTGAAATAGCTGTAGAACTAAGTCATGAATTAATAAACAAAATCTGACATACATTGACTGTAGCAGTAAGCAACAATTGAAAAACAAAATCTAACATGTTATGTGGCTCTTTAGCAACATTAAATCACAGATGCTATCCCATGAAAAAATGAAATATTGATCCAAGCAAATGCCTCTTTTGCCATCCAAAAGCTGATCTTATTTTTGCAGATGAATTTAATGCAAGGCCCTATTCATTACAGTACTGAGCTACCATTTCCCTGTCAAAAATAAAGGGATAGCATAGAAGGGAACGACCGCATAAAATACATTCTATCCATGTTTCTATAGCTCAGCAGTGCAACTATAACTTCATCCAATGAGTTCACATTCTGCTGCTCCTTCCCTCCCCCCCACCCCCAAGTTCTGGAGGATGCTTAAGGACAAATTTTCAGCCAGCCTCAAGCCACATTTTAGTTTTGCAAATGTATATTTTTACCCCAGACAGGTACTCTAGTTGTGCAATCTTTGATATGTACAGCAAATAGGGATTTTGTGTGTCATGAACTCATGACTGTATATAGATAGAAAACCTGGGCAAATCAATACCACAAGCATATGCCCCTACCGCATAAGGTAAAGGAGTAGCTCCATTATCTGTAAGTAGTAGGCTGCTATAAGACCTGATCCAATGCCCACTGAAGTCAATGGAAAGGCTCCTATTAACTCTAACAGGATTTGGGATAGGTCCATAGTCACTGGGAACAGCTGCTGGAAGCATGTAATGACAAGATAGTTGCTTGGCACTTTACAGTTGTCTGTACTGAATATTTAGATACTCATGGGGAGTTATGAGCACCATGATAGGGCCAGGTACACCCAGCTCAACAGATCTAAAAGTTAAAGGTTAAGCAGAGAATCTGGGGTTTCTGATTTGTACACAGGATTTCTGGTACAATCAAAATAAAATAGACAAGCAAAGCCTCTGGCCACATTCCTTTCATGCAACTGAATAGTCTTTAAACACAAATTTGACTGGGCTCTGGAGACTCAGCATTGCTGCAGGCGAATCACATGGACCTCTCCTGCATCTATTGGCACATCCTCCTGAAGCCAGGACCAGCCACCATCCCCTCCCTGCCTCCTGGTGCCTTCTGGGGTAGCGCAGTGTTCCAGCACAGCTGGGTACTCCGCAGGGTACATATTTATAACCTTTTTCATTAGTACTTGACTACTCACTTCACTCAAGAACACCTGGTATATTCAGCTTCCTCGTTGACTATCCATTACCATACCCTAATCCCTTTGGTTATCTTCTATATAACTCACTTGATCTGTAATTAATTCTCAGTATTTTTGATCCATAACCAATTCTCTTCCTATTTGACTCGCTTTGTAATTAATTCTCTGCATAATTGATCTGCTCCATAACTGATTCATTCCTTAACTGATTCCCTACATCTGTTTATCTGCTTAACTGATTCCAAATCACCTAATTGCAGGTTCTCTGCATTATTGATTCATATTGCTGTTGCTTTGCATATTTACTGCCTGCCATAACTGATTGACCATACTGCTTCACTGGTTCTTTGAACTATTGTTCAGTAGCTAACTATTGTTCTTTGATTGTTTCACAGGATAATTGATGACTAGTCTCTACCCACTGGTCATTCTCTCCATTCAGATTCTGTTTCAGTTTCTTCCCTCCTCCCACTCTTCTTCTCCATGTCTCCCACAAAACTATCTCCAATTCTGTATCCCTCTCACTCACCTTCTCCCTCTCTTCTTCCAGTGACCTCTGCCCCAGCCTTGTTCCTACCTCCATCTCTACTCTTCTCCTTCAACACCTTAATCCTGCTGCTCCCCTCTCACCTCCATACCCATTTCCAACCTCTGACCTTCCCTCCTTCTCCTCCCATTGGAATGCCCATTCTATAGCTTAAAACATTAGCTCCATCCATGACTTCTTAAAACTGGAAGGGACCTTATGGGTCTATTATGGGTCATCAAGTCCAGTCCCCTGCTATTGTAGGCTACCCCATCATATAATCCCATTAATAAATGTAGTCTCCATATTAAAACTAGTTAGGTTGTTTGCCTCCACTACTCCTATTGCCAGGCTGTTCCAGAATCTCACTCTTCTGATGGCTAGGAACAGGGCTGTCTCTAAACCAAATGGCACCCCAGGTGAGAAGCATCTTTGGGACTCCCGTGGCCCCATTTGGTGAACTTTTTAAAATATCTTATTTGTATTGCATTTGTCCTTTATTAGTCACTACTTGAACTCTTCAAGTCTTAAAACACAAGAACCCTTTCACAATTACACAGTAAAACAAGATTCACAATATCGCAGCTGGGCTCTCACTTCACTTCACTTTGTTCTGACATCTCATTGACTGACTGGTGATGCCCTGCTTCTTACATGCCAGTGAGGGCATGGCTGACAACATTCTAGGAGGTTCAAGGAAAATGTAGTTCTCTGAAAGTCTGGATGGTTCCATGAAATTCTACAAAGGTCCAGAACATTCTGGGAGATTAGTGAAAAATGAATCCACATATGGGATTCCTGAAACATTTTACTTCAGACATTGTATTTTCCCTTTTGTCACTAACAACAAAAACAGCACCCCAAACCCAGCACTGCAGTCAATCGCCTGGGTGACCTGCCCCTAAATCCAGCCCTGGCTAGGAACCTTCTAATTTCCAGCCTAAATTTATTCGTGGCCAGTTCTTTGTGCCAACATTGTTATTTAGCTTAAATGGCTCTTCTCCCTCCCTGGTCTTTACTCCCCTCTGATGTATTCATAGAGAGCAGCATATCCCCTCTTTTATGCTTTATTTTGCTAGGCTAAACATGCCAAGTTATTTTAGTATCCTCTTGTAAGATGGACTCTTCCATTCCCCTGATCATCCTAGTAGCTCTTCTCTGTACCTGTTCCAGTGTGAATTTATCTTTCTTGAACATGGGTGACTAGAATTGTACATAGTATTCCAGATGAGATCTTACCCTGTACAGTGGCATTACTGCTTCCCTATCTCTACTGGAAATACCTTGCCTGATATCTCACCTGATACCTATGCAATTCTAAGCGAGGTTCTTTTATGGATGTATTACATTGGTGGCTTATAGTCATCCTGTGATCAACTAATGCATGCAGTCTTTATCCTCCTCTGTTGTTTCCTGCTGATGAGCCCCATACTTATGGGAAAAAAATTTTGTTACATGTGCATGACCTTACACATTTCTATTACTACTGTCCTGTTGGTCATGCACTTCTTCCTGTGTAATATTCCAGTTCTCCTCTGTATTGACGATCCTTCCATTGATGAAACTTCATGTCATCAGCAAATTTCATTAATACACTCCTTCATTTTGTGCCAAGGTCATTAAAGAAAATTTAAAATAAGATCCAATCCATGAGGAAATCCACTTCAACCTGATAATTCTCCTCCCAGCACCAAGTGATGCCATCTCCCCTTTAGCTAGCTCCTTACCCACCTTACAATTCTTGTACTAATCCCCATCTTCTCCAGTTTAACTAATGATTTCCCATGTGGTACTGTGTTAAATGCTTTACTGAAGTCCAGAACGATTAGATGTATTGCATTTCCTCTGTCTAAAAACAACAGTTCTTATAAAAAAAAATCAGGTTAGTCTTATTTACCTTTGATAAACCCAATACCATCATCTCTTGCTCCTTCCATCTCCTGGCACTCACTAAAACTTGGATCCCTATCTCTAACACTGTCTTCCCAGCTGTTGTTCATTGAGTACCTCTTACACATGCCCACCCCAAATAGTCACTAAAGGAAAACCATGGAGGCATTGGGATTCTCCTTTCCCTCTCTTTCCCTCACTTCTCCATTTTTGAACAACACTCCACCCAGTTCCTGTCTTCTCCCCACCCATGCTGTTATTCACCATCCACCTGATTCTGCCCTCTCAACTTTCTTTGATTTTGACTCATGACGCTCCATACTGCACTCATCACAATCTTCCACCTTCATCTTTAGTGACCTCAGCTTCCATGATGACATTCCACCTACCCATTAGCCTTTGCCTTCAGCCGTTGCCTCCTTATTTGTCCTTCAGCCTT